ACATACTGAAGAATGGAGATGGACCTTCCTTCTCCTCAATTCCTGGAAACATGGCAACATACTGGAGAACAGAGATGGACCTTTCTCCACCTTAATTCCTGGAAACATGGCAAAATACTGGAGAATGGACCTTCCTTCTCCTCAATTCCTGGAAACATTAGAACATACTAGAGAACGGAGATGGACCTTCCTCCACCCTAATTCTTGGAAACATGACAGTATACTGAGGAATGGAGATGGACCTTCATGGTGTAAAGTACGTACTAGATATAGTTGTCTTCAAGTGTGGCACCTGATATCACCAAAGGCTGCAGATAATATACAGTGTATGATTAAAGGAAAAAAGGATTACCTCTCTATATGGAAAGGGTTCTTTTCTGTAAAAGCTGTGGAAATGTTTAATAGTTTTGGACAGGAACTTGTTCGACCTGACCTAATAGACTGGATGACCTAATAGACTGGATGACTTTTAAATACAAACATGTACAGGACTACTAATATTTGTAGAAAAAGCTATGTGGAATGTTGATCCGGGAGTTATTTGATTGCCTCTTAGAACAAGATGGAATTATTTTATCCTTTTTGAAGTAAATTGGGCCAAACCCTCTATGTGTGTTTTCGGCATTCCTCTGGATCTGCTGTAGGTTTAGGATTATTTTTGTTTCCTCTGGGGTGAACGGGCTAGATATGCGAGATGTGTCAACCCATCTAAAAGTATAAAAACAAACTTCATATTCACAGACGTAAAATAAAAATTGTGAACTTTGTTTTACTTACTTGTGTCCGTATGTAGAGAAGATTCCTCCTGTTCACTCTTCATCATCATCTCCCCCTCCTCGATAGACTGCTGAGCTCCACTCACCAACGTCTCTTCTTCTTCCTCTTTAATCTCAGCTTTGATGTCTTTCAGTTCTTCACCCTAAACCCCAAAGATGATAGAATACATTTATAAAAAGGAACACATAGAAGAATGTCCTCTCATAGCTTAGAATACATTGTTAGGTCTACATGGTCAGTCACATCTACCTGATCGTGTAATGAATAATTGTGATCTGCCTGTGTGGAATCCGGGGAATACAGAGGACGGGTCTGAGGGATCTCATGATGTTCCTGTGTGGAATCCCAGGAATACAGAGGACGGGTCTGAGGGATCTCATGATGTTCCTGTGTGGAATACAGAGGAAATCTCTCTGGTGGGTTCCTCTTCCTGGATCCATCTGTAGGAAACACACACACTGACTGAATACATTGTTTCTATGTGTGTATCAGATGATGGGGGATCTAGGTAGACCCTCCGTACTGCTCTCTCCTCTTACCCGATGATGTGAGGGGCGGCTCATTCTCCATCACGACGTCCTTGTAGAGATCCCGGTGTCCTTCTAGATACTCCCACTCCTCCGTGGAGAAATAGACGGAGACATCCTGACACCTTATAGGAACCTGACACACACAATGATACAGTCACCACCCAGACACATCCCTTGTCTGTTCCTGGACCATGTCCCAGAATTCCCGGCACCGCTCACCTCTCCTGTCAGCAGATCAATGATCTTCCGGGTGACTTCTAGAATCTGTTTCTCTTTTCTCTCAGATGTCAGGCAGTGAGGTGGAGGCTCTGTGATGGGTGATGTCCCATGAAGACAGTTGTTGGGTGTTAATGGATCACCAGACATTTTCTTCACCACTTTATAATCCTGAGTAAATTTAGAAAATGATCAGTAAAGACTTCCCAGAATCCTCCTCACTTCCCCAATAAGGTCTGTGCGAATTAATGATATCAAGTGGCCCTCCTGGAATCCACATTAGCTCGTTAGTCAGCTATGAGTTTTATTATGAGAGGTAAGAGCGATGTCATATGACCACACACCCCTTCCAAAATCCTTAACTCTTCAATTAGATCTCATTTTTTTCTTATAGAGATAAAAGTGATGTCATTGTCATGTGACCCTCCCAAAATCCTCCTCACCTCTCCGGTCAGCAGGTAGATGATCTCCAGGGTGAGGTTTAATATCCTCTCCGTCATATGGGTTTGGTCTTTGTCCATCCTCAATGATGTTATGAGATCTGCATAGGATGCTCCTTTCTGTAGAGAAATGATGAACTGAGAATTATCTGGACTGTCCCGGGATGGATGATGTCTGGACAGTTTTCTGGTGCCTCCTCACTATCACGTAGCAGTGGGCACTTCCGGGTTTTACAGAGTGTTGCAGCCCCGTAGCTTGAGTGCTCCTCAGCTTACAGCCTTAGCAACCCACAACAATAAATGGCGGCTCTGGATGGACAGTTGGATAAATGGTTCTATATTTAGGATGTATCCGGTCTATAAATGGTGGCTCTAGATGGACAGTTGGATAAATGGCTCTATATTTAGGATGTATCTGGTCTATAAATGGCGGCTCTGGATGGACGGTTGGATAAATGGCTCTATATTTAGGATGTATCTAATTAAACAATGTCGCCCTAATATATATGTTCGCAGAAGTACCTGCTGGAGATAAAAGTCACAATAAATATGTAAAAAGAGTACGGACATGACAGGAGGGTTACTGGGTGTAAATATAAAATAATATCTTCTTACCTCCTCTGCTGCCAGTTCCAGCAATGTCTCCTCTCTACTTCCTCCCACCCAGAACTTCCTGTGTGCATCTTACATCACTTCCTGTCTGCACCTGACATCACTTCCTGTCAAGTCAAAAACGACAGCCTTAGCTATGTTTTAAAATTTACCCCCCCTCCGGTGTTTTATTGCACTCCTTATTATACTTTGTATTATGATGCAACCAAAGAGCGTACGTTTGGATCATTTCTCCTCCGGCTATGGGAGTCATGTCTGTGGCTGTTAGAGTCTTGAAATGCCTTTTGGGATTTGTAGTTTCACCACAGATGAATGCCGACTTTTGGCTGCCCTCTACTGTAGATGTGTCTGCACCCCAAAAAATAGCAGACCGGTATGCAATCCACACTTTCAACACGTTAAAATATACGTATCTCGGCCGGAATAAAGATCGGATTTAGTTACTCCGTGTCCCGCGTCAAAGTGTGGTGGCCAAAAGGCGAGCGCTTTAATTCCAAATGTACTGTTTTTATGGTGAGAGATGGAGAAGCTGTTCGTATTTGGTTCTTTTGGCGGTTCTTCTGGTTCTGGTGGGTGTACAGTATCAGAGTTCGGACCCAACGCACAGTAGAACCATCGCCTGTCCAGGGATATTAAATATAACAATGAATGAGCTGGTTTTTGATTGGTCTACAGAACCCATGAACCTGAGGAGACTGCTGGGTGTGTAGGTCTATATAAGCTTGGTTGTGATTGCCAGAGAGGGACTGGGGGGGGATTTTGACTCATTAGCATATCACCTTTTGCAGATAGAACGGCCAAACACACTCAAAGAATTCATTCTACAATGTAAAGCCAACGCTGTCGTAGAACTTACGTCAAATGCGTTGCCCTTGAAGGTGTCCTTAACCTTCCGTTGACTTCATCCCAAACCATCTCGATGGAGTTTAGAGACCACGTGTGAAGGAAATGATGAAAACTCCCCAGGACACACATTGTTCCCTCAACATTTCTAGCAGGGTGTGGAGACCGCCATTTTATGATCAGTGTCTACATTGCACACCACACATGGTTCCCTCAGCAGTGTCCACACCGTAGTAGAGACGTTCTTTAATCTCAGAGTCTGCATTCCCACCACATTGTTCTCTTACAGTGCCATGGTGGTAAAGACGTTCTTTTATCATCAGTGTCTACATCCCCAAGCACACATTGTTCCCAGACCCTGGTAAAGATGTTCTTTTATTAGTGTCCACATGCCCACCACATTATTCCCTCAGCAGTGTCCACACCCTGGTAGAGATGTTCTTTGATCAGTGTCTACATCCCCACCACACATAATTTCATCACCAGTGTCACCGTGGTAGAGGTTTTCTTTTATCATCGGTGTCTACATCCCCAAGCACACATTGTTCCCTCAGCAGTCTCCACACCCTGGTAGAGATGTTCTATGATCAGTGTCTACATCCCCACCACACATGGTTCCCTCAGCAGCTCCCTCCCTCACACCCTGGCTTAGATGTTCTTTTATGATTAGTGTCCACATGGCCACCACATTGTTCCCTCAGCAGTCTCCGCACCCCTTGTCACGTTTGGCTGGGATTGTCATGGAGCCCTAAAAATGGATGAGGCTCAGAGTCTAAAGAGCCCCCTGGTATTTACCAGTGCACCCCACAAGGGTTAGGGTTGTGACGGGTCCCAGGTTGCGGCCCTCAGACACACCTATGCAGGCGGCAGCTGACCTAGCAAGGAACGAGAGCGAGGCACAGCAGCGATAAGCAATTTCATAAACAGGGACCTGCTGACCAACAACGTAAGGGGACTGTTCTGCACTGACGACCAGCGTTGATGGTCCCTTCACCTACCACCAATTTTAGGGTTCAAATCCTTATTGGACTCTCTGGGTCAGTAATTTTTTTTTTTACAGGGATACTTTTTACATTCAGTAGGATAGTGTTATCATGATTACCAGTGTCACCCACCTGCAGTCACCATATTTGCCCACATATGGCAGCAGCTTAGTGTTATAGAGTCATTCTGTAAGTGTGGGACCAGCTCAGCACTGTTTCTTTTGATAACCACATTACTATAATTTATATTTCCCGCACTCTCAACATAAACAAGGGCCACCCTGATGGTGACATTTCTAGCGAATAACCACTTTAATATTAAAACATTTCTGGCACACTGAGCATGAAAACGACTTTTTATCCACATGAAAATTCTAGTGTCTAAGAACACATTTCTGTTCCAGTGTGAATTTTCTGGTGTCTTTGCAGACTTCCTTTCTCAGTGAAACTTTTCCCACACTCTGAACATGAAAAAGGACGCACACCTCTGTGACTCTTCAGGTGTCTAATAAGATTCCCCTTCTGAGTGCAACTTTTCCCACACTCTGAACATAAAAACTTTTTGCCCGTGTGAATATTTTGGTGTCTATGAAGAGCACTTTTCTGAGTAAAACTTTTCCCACACTCTGAACATGGAAATGACCTTTCGCCGGTGTGAATACTCTGGTGTATCTGAAGTGCACTTTTTTGGGTAAAACTTTTTCTGCACTCTGGGCAGGAAAAAGGACGCTCATTCGTGTGAATTCTCTGGTGTCTAATAAGTTTCCCTTTCTCCGTAAAACTTTTTCCACACTCTGAACAGGAAAACGGACGCTCATTCGTGTGAATTCTCTGGTGTCTAATAAGTTTCCCTTTCTCCGTAAAACTTTTTCCACACTCTGAACAGGAAAACGGACGCTCATCCGTGTGAATTCTCTGGTGAACAATTAGTTTTCCTTTATCACTGAAACATTTTCCGCACTCCAAGCAGGAAAAAGGACGCTCACCCGTGTGACTTCTCTTGTGTCTTACAAGGTCTTCAGGCTGAAAGAAACATTTCCCACACTCTGGACATGAATAGGGGCGCACCCCTGTGTGGATTCTCTTGTGCTTAACAAGGCTTACTTGGTGAATAAAACTTCTTCCACACTCTGAACATAAAAAAGGACGCTCACCAGTGTGACTTCTCTGGTGATTAAGAAGGTTTCTTTTTTGAATGAAACCTTTCCCGCACTCTAGACATGAATAGGGACGCTTAGTTGTGTTACTTTTCTCATGTGATTGATGAGAAGATTCTTCAGGATTAGAAGGATCCATTGATGTCTCTGAATGGGAAGATCTGTGATGTCTATTATGAGTAATGAGATTCACTCCTGGAGAATGTTGTGTGATGTCATTACAATCTGGAGCAAAAATAAAATGTTCCTCAGAGGTATTCCGGACATGGTGTCCATCTGTTCAAAACAATTTATGAATAAATGTTAGAAGTATTCTTCAATCTTTGCATTCTGAAGTCATTTATATTGGTCTAGCACTAAATATTTTTAAGCGCTACAGTAATTCCTCATTTGTTGGTCACATGACGTTATATTGAGGAATGGTGTTGGTCACATGACGTTATATTGAGGAATGGAGATGGACCTTCATATGGTGTACAGCAGGGCTCAAAATTTCCACTCGCCTGCTCGCATTTGGCGAGTGGAAATGCAGTCAGGCTTGAGTCAGTACCTGACTCGTGGGAGCAGCTGCTTCTGGTGGTCTGTCTCCCTTCCTTTCGGCCGCAGCTCTTCAGTGAGCTCCGTGTCGAAAACGGAGTGATTAGTAATGTCTGCAGACCTTACTAATCGCACCAGATCACCAGGGATCTGAAAGAAGGTAATATTTTATATGTGGGGGCAGGGACCTTTATGGTAATATTGTTAAAGTTGTTAATATTTATTTTTGTAACTTTATCTTGCATAAAACATCTAACACTGTGATTTACAAGATTATTTAAGTGGGTGTGTTTAGGGGCGGAGTTAAGGGCAGGGTAGGGGTTAGGTGGGCAACTGGTGGCGAGTAACTGTTAAAGCAGGGCTAGTAGCTCAGGACTTGACCCCTGGTGTACAGTATCTCCTCCTCATGTGTTGGGGACATGACGTTATATTGAGGAATGGAGATGGACCTTCATATGGCGTACAGTATCTCCTCCTCATTTGTTGGTCACATGACGTTATATTGAGGAATGGAGATGGACCTCTCATATGGTGTACAGTATCTCCTCCTCATTTGTTGGTCACATGACGTTATATTGAGGAATGGAGATGATCCTTACTTGTGTCCATATGTAGAGAAGATTGCTCCTGGTTATGCTTCATAATCATCTCCCCCTTCTCCGCAGACTTCTGAGCTCCACTCATCAACGTCTCTTCTGCTTTCGTTTTAGGCTGGATATCTTTCAGTTCTTTAACCTAAACCCCAAAAATGATAGAACACATTTATAAAAAAGAAAATATATATAAAATTTTCTCTCATAGCTTAGAATAGATTTTTAGGTCTACATGCTGAGTCCCACCTACCTGATCATGGTGGGGGACGGTGTGATCTTCCTGTGTGTAATCCCGGGAATACAGAGGACGGGGACATCTCTCTGGTGGGTTCCTCTTACTGGATCCATCTGTAGGAAACACACACACTGACTGAATATATTGTTTCTATGTGTGTATCAGATGATGGGGGATCTAGGTGGACCCTCCGTACTGCTCTCTCCTCTTACCCGGTGATGTGAGGGGCGGCTCATTCTCCATCACGACGTCCTTGTAGAGATTCCGGTGTCCTTCTAGATACTCCCACTCCTCCATGGAGAAATAGACAGAGACATCCTGACACCTTATAGAAACCTGACACACAGAATGATACAGTCACCACCCAGACACATCCCTCGTCTGTTCCTGCATCATGTCCCAGAATTCCCGGCACCGCTCACCTCTCCCGTCAGCAGCTCAATCATCTTCCGGGTGACTTTTAGAATCTTCTTGGCGCTGTTTATTTCTACTGTCAGGCGGTGAGGTGGAAGCTCTGTGATGGGTGATGTCCCATGAAGACATCTGTTGGGTGTTATTGGCTCTCCGCATATTTTCTTTACTACTTTATGATCCTGAGTAAAGACAGAACAATCATCACTACGGATCTCCTAGAACCCAACTCCCCTGTCTGGTCAGAATTATTAATAAAGATAATGGTGATGTCATGTGACATCCCAGAATCCTCCTCACCTCTCCGGTCAGCAGGTAGATGATCTCCAGGGTGAGGTCTAATATCCTCTCAGTCATTTGACTCTGGTCCTCGTCCATGCTTATTGATGTGGTCATGTGATCCATACAGGACACTCCTCTCTATAAATAAATAATAACATGAGAATGACCTGGACTGTGCTGTGATGGATGTTGTCTTCACAGAGTTCCTCCAGAGTTCTCAGACCGCTTCTTATACTCATTACAGGTCTTGCTCATCATTCTAACGGAACGTATAACTAAAACCAAGAAAATCAATGTAACATATTGCAGCTTATAAATTCTGCTTTGAGTTTTCAGGACAACAGGATGGGACTACAGAACAGCCTCCTTTTGCTCTGCTCCATAACTGAGGGGACATCTGTAGAACAATGTAATAGATGAGATTGAACCCCAGGCAGAGAGCTCAGGAAGTTATCAGCTGAGAAGACTTCTGTCCAACGTCAAACAAAATGCTTCCAATGGACCAACCAAAAGGGAGGAAATGAAAGCGGTTCGTTGTTGGGGTTTACGTACCCTTGAGTGAGAGGTAGAGATTGTCTTGGAAGCCCAACTCTAACCAGAACCTTTTATTGTTGGATGGACTGGAGAAAAATTGGAATCTCTATTGAGGACGTCTTCTGTCTGTGTCCCGATTCGGAGGGTTTCCCTTCAGTTCCCTTCCAGATGGCCAGTGCCAAACGGCAGAGCGTAGAAGGGAAATCGGCCAAACATGGGAAGAGGTTCCAACCTTCTCTTCTAAATCTCAGGGTAAAAGGTTCTCACTGCAGTTGGGCTTCAAAGAGAAGTATTATAACGCCCTTCGGCATCACAAGGAGGTGTGTTAGATTGATGCCACCACTAGGGATGCACCGATACCAGTTTTTCAGTTTCGAGTACCGATATTTCTTTCTAGGTAATCGCCGATACCAAATACCGGTGCCACGTGCATCAATTATCAGGAAGTTGGGCGGTGGACCATGACCCGTTGCCTGTGAAGCCGGTGTTCTTGCAAAAGAACACCGGCTTCAGAGACTGCCTGGCTTCCAAACCAAATCAGGAAGCCGGTCAGTGGGTTATGAGGTGCTGTCCGGCTTCCCGATTGGTCAGGAAGCCAGGCTGCTTAGCACCACGTAAAGCCAGCTTCCTAGCCAATAAGGAAGCCAGGTGACAAGTCATGACCCGCCTCCTGATTGGCTACGAAGCTAGCTACACTTGTTCCTAGGCAGCCTGGCTTCCTGACCAATCAGCAGGCGGGTCATTACGTGCCGCCTGGCTTCCTGATTGGTTAGGAAGCCAGGCTGCCTAGCAGCACGTGAAGCCGGCTCTCTAGCCAATGAGGAAGCCGGGAGGGCATGTCATGATCCACCTCCTGGCTTTCTGATTGGCTAGGAAGCCAGCTTCACTTGTTCCTAGGCAGCCTGGCTTCCTGACCCATCAGGAGGCGGGTCATTACGTGCCACCCGGCTTCCTGATGGGTTAGGAAGCCAGGCTGCTTAGCCGGCTCCCTAGCCAATCAGGGAGGCGGGTCATAACCCACTGCCCGGCTTCCTGATTGGAAAGGAAGCCGGCTCCCTCGGCACTGGCAGATGTCCCTCCGATAGGAAGTTCCGGTATCGGAGAATTGGGGCGAGTACTTGCCCAAATACTTGGTATCGGTACCAATACTATCGGTATATCCCTAGTCTCCACACCCTTAGTAAGGGCACTCACAGATGGAGCTGGCGATCAAAGATGCCAAGAGGATGGAAATGGTTCTATATCCCTCCAAATGCATGTAACAACCTTCTACTTGAGATCTGAGACATCAAATTAAATATGGAGGACAAAACCTAACTTGAGGGGGGGCGGGGTTACTTGGTGTAAACATAAAATAACATCTTACCTCCTCTGCTGCCAGTTCCAGCAATGTCTTATTTCAACCTCTTTCCAACTCAACTTCCGGTCTGTAGCTTACATTACTTCCTGTTTATAGCACACATCACTTCCTGTCTTTACCTCACATCACTTCCTGTCTGTGCTTTCAATGGACTGCCACTGCGATCCCAACCTCCTGTAGAATAAAGACACTGCAGCCTATGTTATCCCCCGTCGCTTCCATTCTATAGAGTCATTTTATGATACGCGTACATTATACTTCCGTAGAAACCCGAGAACTTCCAAAAATAACTAAAAACAGCAAATAGTTGTTAGTGTTTTAATATTCACGAATTTTACAGAACACAAACTAGACGTTAAAAA